ACAATATTAATAATATATAATATAACATTATGAACACATTTCTGTTGCTTCTATTTTATGTTCACTGTCTACACTGACCTGTTTATTCCTCCCCGCTCCGTCCGTCAGTCGTTCCGGCGTGAGTACGAGCGTGCAGTTGTGTACCTGACGTCTGCTGTCTTGGTGCTCACGCTCGCCACAAACCTGGACCTGGTCAGAGCTCTGGCTAGGTACAAGGTCAAGGTCAGAGAGAGGAGGCAGCCAGGCAGTCGGGTCAGCGACGTAAGTCTCTCTCATGTGGTCGCTTTTAAAGACAAGCGGGCTAACCCAGATTTCAGGGATTTCCTTCCACCAAAAGTGGGCATTGCCCTACCTATAGGAGAAGTTTGGTTTCATTGGTGGGTATATTTGTTCGGTTATAGAGAAAATTCTTCTTGTGTTTTATAGAGACTGAACAAGGGATAAAAACTTTACCTTCGATTTTCTCAAAACAGCATTTTTCGGGATAGCCCCCTTGTGCTTAAAAGCGACTTTAATATGTAGTACGAATATTGCTCTAGCCACAAACACAGCCGTCATGATGATGATGAAGATGATGATGATGATGATGATGATGATAAACTTTTTGAGCATTACAAAATTTTGAAAATCTAGTCTCCACCAGTTTTTTTGCTTTTTTAAAATCTTTGAACTGTCAACAATGCTGCTGCTGCTGCTAATGATGATGATGATGATGATGATGATAACGATGACAACATGCCCCCAGGTAAACATCACCGTTGCCATCATCGCCCTGGTGTTCCTGCAGACGCCACACAGCGCCGCCATGAACGTGCTGGCCACGCTCTCCCTGGAGGGTTTCCATGGCAACGTGGCGTCCTTCACGCGTGCCCTCGTCACTGTCCGTTTGCTCTACGTCACCAACAGCGCGCTCAACTGCCTCACCTACTGCCTCCTGTCGCGCCGGTTCAGAGGTCACTTCGCCAGCACCTACCGCCCACTCTGCACACTACGTCATCGTCTGCGCGCTCTACGTCACCAATAGCGCGCTCTACGTCACCAACAGCGTTCTCTGCGTCATCGTCTGCGCGCTCTACGCCACCAATAGCGCGCTCTACGTCACCAATAGCGTGTTCTACGTCACCAATAGCGTGCTCTACGTCACCAATAGCGCGCTCTACGTCACCAATAGCGCGCTCTACGTCAC